ATTATTTTCAACCATTCAATTAGATTTATTCAGGTAAGCCCTCGCTCCTAAAACCAGCTAATCCCTCTCTATGCACGTACATACACAAGAGATGCCAAAAACAAAAAAGAAGAGTGCATATATGGTTCATCCCATCTGGTAGTTTTCTGTTTCTTTCTTCGTAGCCCTAAGGTGTTCCTCAAATTATACATGTATGTAGCGACCACTCTTTACGAGGTTGACGAAGAAGCCACACTGCCATAGCGCTGCTTCATGACACCCTCGCCAATTTTCTTGAAAATATTGTTTTAACTAATAATGTAAAAGGCAATCCTAAGCGAGCATATAAACGTGTGCACACCCACCTTTGAATATTTCACGGTACAAATACTTCCTTCTTTTACGGTAAGGATATGAGGTAATCTATGGTTAGTTATGATGATATATGACTTTTTTTCAGTAGTTCTTTAATAAATAAAAAATAAATTGCCCGCGCAACTGCGCGGGCTTCCTTCCTAGTTAAACAAACAGCTCAGTGGGCAAAACATTCGCCGTCGCACAAGCAAGGAGCGAGACTGCGGTCTCGCAGCGCAGTGTCGCGCCATCCTCGCGCAAGACCGTTCTTGACGTCATCGCCACCTAATTTTTGTGCAATGTTTCTGCGGGACCGATGGTATATTTCTGTCAAAACAATTGCATCCCGAATATTTTTTAAAAAAACCAAATGAACAGTATATTTTTAAATTTAATTCACCAAAGCTCGACTAGTTTTGGCTTATGTGACACTTGCATAGTATTTTACACAACAAAAAATAAATAAATAGTCAACCGTGATCTACTCACGCATCACTCGACTAAATGTTTTACGGAGTAATTCTTTTTCTACAACTACACAGGCAAGAATAAAGATAATTTACATAATGGATTGTAAATTGTTAATTGCCGTTGTACGTTGATGATGTAATAATCGGTTGCAGTTTCTTATAGCTTCTTGAAGCAAAGACCAAATGTTATATCCCAACAGAGCTCATGAGTAGTACTACATCAAAACGGTCCAGACATGAGTATTACCGAGTTGAATTTGTTTTACAACTTGAATGCATATGAAACCATTTAGAGCTAACATTCAATCTATGTGGGCATTTATGCAAATCGATCTTCCTCGCGTCGGTATTTCTTTCATATAACATAGCTTTTCTCACACTTTTAAAAATATATATACTCCATCCGTGTTCCACGTTAGAAAGAAGATGTTTCGATCTCTTCATCACTTAGTTCCATTTTTTCTTGTATTGACAAACTCTCCTAGTCTTGGGAACTCCACACATCTACAAATTCCGCTATAGCCTTTTATATATACTGAAATTATCGTATCTCGTATACACTAAGGCTTATTTAAATTGAAGCATTTTTTTTTGTTGTACTAACATTTATTTTAACGATTTAATAGTATCATATGGGTGATATGTGTTGATTTGCTATCAATTTTTGGCCACACACTAACTAAAATTCTGTATTAATTGGGCAAGCCAAAAGCTTGCCAAGTGCCAAACATTCTTTTCTTAAGTAAAGTATCAAAATTTTGGTATGGTAAAAATTGACTCCAAACCAAATCTGCCATTCCGTCGGGGAGCACCTCCGGTCGGGCCCCTTCACCGTGGGAGGCCACCGCTGGTACTTCTATGTCAAGCCCAACGGCGACGGCACTGATGCGACCGCCGTTCATCCTCATTAAGAAGAGGCTCAAGCACGCAAGCCCCTTTGTTCTTTGTACTACTCCCTCCATCCCAAAATGTTTGACGTCGTTGACTTTTTTTAAAAATGTTTGACCGTTCGTCTTATTCAAAAAATTTAAGTAATTATTAATTCTTTTCCTATCATTTGATTTATTGTTAAATATACTTTTATGCATACATATAGTTTTACATATTTCAGAAAAGTTTTTAAATAAGATGAACGGTCAAACATGGTTTAAAAAGTCAACGGCGTCAAATATTTAGGAAAGGAGGGAGTATAACATTGAGAGGCCGAGGTTGATTTGCGAGGAAAATCTCGGCTAGTACATCGATGTCGGCACGGTGGTGACCATGCTGGTGCTAGCTGATCGGCACGGCTGCGATGTTCTGAAGAAGGCGTAGTGCTTCGGTTTTCTCAAATCTCCAGCAAGTCTCAGGGTAGTCATTGCCACTGATGGCTTCGTGCATCTGACATGGAACTGCACCTCTGTTTTGTTGGAGTTGACTGCCATGAACTCAGCAGCTTAGTTGAGTGGTACTCAGTGTCTTATTTCAATGGTGGTTCATGTGGTTTCTTGACTGATGTTGTCTTAAGGTAGCTATCCTGTTTTCGCAATATTCTCCCTGACTGGCTTACTCCCTCCGTAAAAAAAAAACGAATTTAGTATTAGATGTGATATATTCTATATATGTTTAGATTCGTAATATTAGGATATGTCAAATTTAGTACTAGGTTGGTTTTTGATGGGACGGAGGGAGTAGGTTTTATTATGAGATAGTTATATGTATGTGGAGATGCAGCGATAGTTTCCGTTTTTATCTGTTCTGTTATCAATTAAGGTATTTTTTTCCCCACTAATGAACCTGCAAATTTGTATAGAATGCTTACTAAGGAAATGTCAGAATAGTTTTATGTTTTTCATGCTAGTTAATTGCATCTCCACTTTGATGTTAGCTCATATTTCCACTAGACCTGCAAATTGTTACTTTCTTTCCTACTTTCCTTCACTCTATGTGTCAATAATCAAAATTTATATATGATAGATGGAACTAGAGTCTAACGTTATATAACATTGTTTTCATGAACTCGTAGTATGACGGTGCAAAACAGTTTGTTGCCGTCAGAGGGGGGCTTCTGTTTGGAACAAGGAAGCGTCACGAAATTCTCTAGAAATAATTCTTGGTAATAGTAGTTCAACTTTCTTTCAGGGAAGATTCATGGTTAGCTGAACTGCTGAACATCGCATTAGTTCTACATTCGCTAGATTATTAATAAATGTGTTCCTGTTCTATAAGGGTACAGTTGCTGGGGATATCTTTAACAGTCATATTTACAAGTACAAATCTGAAAAAAATTGCAGTTGGTACTTGGTGTTGAAGAACTGAAACTGAGATGCATCCATGAGTGCTTATCCTGGATTCCTGATAGGCTGCATTCATACTTGGTGACTCTGGGCAGGCTGCTGATATACAGAATCACCTTATCGATCTATTTGCAATGTTAAGATTCCTTTGAAAATACAAGTCTTCCTTTGGTATCTTGAACAAATGTAGCCTAGTGGCTAAAATGACCTGAGTATAGGGATGAAAACGGTACGGAATATTTCTGGATTCTGGGCCTGTTTTCGAAAACGTAATCATCCGGTTGGAATATTTTTGGAAACGGAAAAGAATTCGGAAATTTTTTTCTGAAACGGATAAGAATTCGGAAATATTTTGTCGGAAACGGAATCGAATATGATAAGAGCAGTTTCTGTCAGAACAAACAATCGGTCGGACTGGAAACTTTTTCGGAATTTCTGAAGTTACAGGTCCATACAATACATTAGTCCATAATACGTCCCAAACCAGCCCAATTCAGCATAACACCTCCCATAGTCTATAATACCTCCCGCAAACCTAGAAACTTTTAGAGTAGAGAGTGAGGGACTGAGAGAGACATCGAAGATTCTAAAGCCGGGTGGCAGAGTGACGCGTCCAGATCTCACGTCGCCTCATCCCCCATCGTCTGTTTGAAGTTTTTGTCCATTGAAGTTTGAAGCTCAGTTTGAGGGTTTTTTTTATCCCGATAAATTTTTGTTATCGTATCTGCACCGGCTCGTTTTTGCTCCATTTTCGGTTTCAATAACACTCAATTCCGTTTTCGTATCCGGGGTTTCCGATTCCGATTCTAATTCCGAAAAAAAAATTGAAAACGGAAACGATAAAGGTCGTTTCTGTCCGTTTCCGTACCGTTTTCATCCCTACCTGAGTAGTACCCCAAGGTTTTGAGTTGAAATCTCCATAGAAGCGAATTTCAGATTGGATTGTTTGTGGGGCTAAGTTCCCAATTTAAATGGCCGCATATATTCGGTTTGATGTAGAGGCCAGGTAAGAAAATACCATTATCTAAAAAAAAATCTTGAACAAAAATAATTTGCTGAGTAGAAAATGTCAATATGTTGGATTCTGTTTTTTTCCCTGAAAAGACTATTGACAGTCAATTCTTTCATTGGCCCCATTGCCACTGTCACGTAAAACTAGCGACAGAAGTTCATAACCTAAGGGAGAATACATGCATAGGATTGGTAGACCGATTCAGCCAACAAAAATCAGGCTCATGAAGCTATAGCTAGCTAGTTTATTATCCTTCCCTCCTCTATTTTAATATTTTTTTCCTAAACTAATTATTTGGTCGCACCGTTGTATTCGTTGTAATTAAATCTTTACAACAAAATATCATATGTTTCATACGTGATAAAGACATGTTTCAGCATGTGTCTAAGTGTCTTCATTATGTTTCGTAAAATTCACGCAACTAACTACACCTACCCTGTCTCCTCTCCATCTATCCATGCATGTATGCATTTAGCAACCTTCAAAACGATTTTTCTTTTAAACTACTTATCTATTCGATCACACTGTTGTATTCGTTGTAATTAAATCTCTACAATAAGATATCACAAGATTATATTTTTTATGAAACAAATATCTTTCAATTCTTTAACACTCAATGTTTCATACACGATAACGATATGTTTCAACGTGTCTCCACTGTGTTTCACAAAAAAATATTACTTCATGTCTAGATTCATTAACATCTATATGAATGTGAGCAATGCTAGAAAGACTTACATTATGAAACGGAGGGAGAAAATGTTTCGACTAAATTATTTGTCTAGCCATGTATAACTCAATGTTTCACTAGTGGTCAACTAAAATATTTGACCATCCGATTTTTTAAGAAACAATCAGGCACCCGATTTGGAGTTTCTTCCTAAATAAGCTAGGATATATTGCCACAACTCACCAAGCATAATTATGTGAAGTTCCTAGAATGTCAACAAGCTCCTTCATAAGAGAGGGGAAGCTCCTGCTCAGATGCTCGAAGCTTTCGCTGCCGGTGACGGCACTCAGGTTCGCCGGCGACCTGAGAAAATCGAAGCACGCCTTCTTCAGCCCCTTGCAGTGGTGTTGATCAGCCAGCGCGAGGATGTCCATCACCGTGCCTATGCCAATGTACTTGCACAATCTTTCCTCGCAGATCAGCTTCAGCCTCTCCAGGTTGTACCGATCCGCCGCGACGAGCAGATGCTCGCACATGGTGTCCTCCCTCTCCTCCATCGTCTCCGGCAACGAGTCGGTGTACACGAAGTGGAGCAACGCCTTGAACACCGGCGCCGCCATGTCACCGATTTGGATGGCATCGTTGGTGGTGGTGTCGCTCTCCATCATCATGCCAAAGAGCTCCGCGTTGAAGACCGGTGACCGTGCCGCGAGCACGCACCGGTGCGCTGTGAACCTCTGGCCGGCGACCTCGAACACTACGTCGGTGCCCTTCTCGTTCTTGAGGAGGTCGCCGAGGTGGCTATGGAGGTTGGACGGGGGCACGGAGACGAAGCCGGCAGCGCCGCTGCTGGCGTCCTCGGCACGGTAATTGTCGACCACGATGATGTCGCACCGGATGGTGAACGAATCGTCCCTGAGATACTCCGATTTCTCCAAATCTTCTCTCCTGATGAACTTGGGGTAACCCCAGGAAGAAGACGAAGAAGTTTGCTTATTGAACGCTCGAACGGTCTTCCATGCCAAGGACGGCGCCTGCTTCTCAACCTGGCCGGCGAAGCAAATCTGGAACTGAGCCTTGACGTTCCTGACGACGATCTCGTCGAGCACGAGGAACATGGAGATGTAGTCCGCGGCCTCCAGGACATTGCCGTTGGGGTAGTAGCAGATGCGCCAGCGGTGGCCGCCGACGGCGAACTGGCAGGAGAAGAGGGCCTCGCCGGTGGGCGTGGCCTTGGTGTGCGAGTAGCCGTCGATCTTGAGGTAGTGGTACCCTCTGGAGGTATTGGCGACGATGGCGGACGCGGACACGGCGGCGGCGGTTGTCGGAGACAATGCTCCATGGCTCATCACCGGCGGCAAAGTAGGCCCGTCGCTTGTTGCTGCTGCTGCTGCTGATTTGCAAAGTTTAGCGTGGGGTGGGGAAGATTAGCTGCGGAGGAGGAGGAACCGAGGAAGCCGGAAGGAGAAGGAAACGCGACGACGACGACATCCATGGTTCTTGATGCCAATGCAGGTACGCGGTATATAATAACGTCTTTATCCGCTGCTGTGTTTTTAAAATCTCGGAATTTGCGTTGTCGCCTTGTCGGGCTCTGAATCATGGTCTCATGTTATTTTTACTGTGCCCTGATATGTTTGCGATGGAATATGAGAGAAATACGAGTTAAGCTTTTGTATTTACAAGTTTTCTATCCCAATACCTATACATCTTTCGAAAGATTTTTATGATCGTATCACACAGATTTTTAATCTTTGGATTAAAATCTGATAGATATAATAAAAAGCAAAAAGCAATTAAGAAACATCATAATGGACACTAAATTACCATATCCTTAATAAAAAGACCAAATCCAATACAAAATTTAAAATTTACATGCGAAGATTCAAAAATTACAGTGTAACTTACAAAAGTTACCGTGTAAGTTTCATAAATTACACTGTAACTTACAAGAAAATGCACTGTAAATTTGAGTGAGAAAATCGAGTGAGAGATAAAGAAAAAATCTTTCGAGTGAGATATAGCAAAATCGATCCCGGTTTATCTTATTGTAGGTTTAATGGAGAGTTGGAGACTAATAGAGAGGTTGGAGGGCAAAAACTCCCCTTTTAAGTCCATGTTTTAATTGAGACCGATGAAGAGGCCATATGGACTGCGGGCCGACGGCCCAGCCCATGGCATGGCGCTTTGGCACGGCCCAGGCACGGCATGGTCTGGCCCGTGCCAGCCGGGCCTGATAGTTGGACCATGCTTGGGCCGCTGCCTTGGCACGGTGGGTTGGCCTGGCACAGCACGAAAGTCAGGAGACGAATAAACTTACTGTCAGCCACATGTAAAGCGAGAAATTTGGGATTATACCATCGCAAAAGAGTGGTTTCGCTGGAATCCCATCGCTTCAAACTGATTCACTGGAATGCCAGTTTAGGTGTTCACTAAAATACCATTTTCTTTTCGTTCTTATCTATGAATAGAAATGTTTTTCTCAATTTTATTTTCGGAGAAGATAAATCAGTTCAAAGAAGGTAAAAACCAAGCAACGTGCAGTCTATGTGGAGGTTCAACTGACATAACTATCTGTTGGCTAATGGCTACAGTAAAGTTATTGCTGATCAAATGGCAGAGTTGTAGTCTCGCAGATATATACAATGAATTAACAAAACAGAGAGAAATTTTGATGACTACTGCATAAAGAATCTTAGAAACATGATATGTTTGTCACTGAACTAAGTTACTGTCACGTCCTATGGGCCGGGCTTCAGGCACTGGGCTTTGGTCCAGGCAAACAGGGTGCATGCCTTTAAAAGAGAAGGAACAGCAACAGATGAGGCATCGATGAAGAAATCAACAGAACTAAAGCCAAGGCTTCTTCCTCCTCCAATTTCCTCTCATCTCTCTGTTCTTCCAATCCTAGTTTCTGTTCTCTTATTCCCAGTCCCCTGCTTCTCTTCCCAATCTACATTGCTAATTCCTCTCAATTGTATCCAAATTACTTGAGTGATTACTGCTATGAATTATCGGTTGCTTCCGGTGTTGGGCATTGATCGGTGGGTGGGTTGAGGATCGTGACAGTTACCGAGCATGGCAACCAACTCCGTCATAAGAGAAGGGCAGCTCCTACTCAGATGCTCGAAGCCGTCGCCGGCCATGGCAGCTTTCAGATTTTCTGGAGAGCTAAGGAAATCAAAGCACGCATTTCTCAGGCCATCACAATGGTGCTGCTCAGCTAGCGCCAGGACGGTCGCCACCGAGCTCACATCGATGCGCTCGCATAGCTTCTCCTCGCACACCAGCTTGAGCCTCTCCATGGCGTACCTGTCCGCCGCGACGAGCAGGTGCTGGCACATGGCGCCTTCGTCTTTCTCCTTCATCTCCGGCAACGAGTCGGTGTACGCGAAGCGGAGCAGCGCCTTGAACACCTGCGCCTCCATGTCGACGACGCGGACGACGGCCTTCCTGCGGCTCTCCTTCATTGAGCCTAGCAGCTCGGCGCCGAACACCGGCGACCGGGCCGCGAGCACGCACCGGTGAGCGGTGAAGGTCTTGCCGCCGACCTTGAACACCACGTCGGCGCCCTTCTCGCCGAGGAGGAGCTCACCGAGATGCCGGTGAAGATCGGACGGCGGCACGCTGACGAAGCTTCCAGTTCCCCTCGCAGGGGTTCTTCTTCTCGCCGCCGTCGCGGTCGCCGCCTCGGGCATATCCTTCGCGACGAACTCGGTGATGACGACGACGTCGCACCGGACGGTGAAGGAATTGCCCTTGAGATGCCTCGATTTCTCCAATTCCTCCTTCTTGATGAACTTTGGTTGCCCCCAACTGGCATGGCTGAAGAACTTGTTCGCATCCAGCGACGGCGGCGGCGGCGGCGGCGGTAATTTGTCACCCAACTCGTCGTCGAGCAGACGAAACTGGAGCTGCGCGTACACTTCCCTGGTTACTTCCTCGTCGAGATGAAGGAAGAGGGATATGTAATCGCCGCAGTTGGGCGTGTTGCCGTTGGGGTAGTATTGGATGCGCCATCGATGGCCGCCGATGGTGAAAGCGCGGGACTTGAGGGCAGTGCTGGTGGGGAAGAGATCCCGGGTGCGCGAGTAGTCGTCGATCTTGAGGAGGTGGTACCCGCTGGCCGTGCCGGCGACGATGGTGGAGGCGGATCGCGACGACGACGACGACGGCGTCGGCCCGCCGCCGCTGCCGGCGGTGGTGCCAGAGCGTGCGGGAGACATGGCGCACTGACCCATGATTGCTAGTGCTACTCGCGACAAGGGTTTGTAGCTTTTTAAAAAAAAAATCAAGAAATATTAGTAACAATGTTCCTTTCTTAGATTAGATTGATCCGTGACTATGCTTCTTCTTTTCTTTAATTTTCACCAGAATTATATGTGTCTCTGTTTACCGTGTACAACTGCAACATTGGTGATTTTTCCGACTCGGCCACGTGAATTTTCCGACTCGGCCACAAAGTTTCCCTTGTGTATTACTCCCTTCGTATTTTAATGTATGACGCCGTTGACTTTTTAACAAATATTTGACATTTCGTCTTATTAAAAAAATTTATGTAATTATCATTTATTTTATTATGATTTGATTTATCATCAAATGTTCTTTAAGCATGACATAAGCATTTTTGTATTTGCATAAAAAAAATTAAATAAGACGAATGGTCAAACATTGGTTAAAAAGTCAACGGCGTTATACATTAAAGAGATAATCCATGAAATGCAATTGACAAGCATCCAAATCCCAGAAATGCCATCGACAAGTGTGAGTTCTAAGAAATGCCATCGTACAAACAACTTTGTCCCAAAAATGCCATCGCCGGACAAAATCGTTTGTACGATGGCATTTCTTGGAACTCACGCTTGTCGATGGTATTTCTGGGACTTAGATGCATGTCAATGGCATTTCTTGGATTATCTCTACATTAAAATACAGAGGAAGATGTAGTTAGTCCAGCATATTCCCAACCAAATCCTGTGTCTTTCATCTCGTTCGTCTCGAGCAGGCGGTTAACCTTGCCTGCCTGCCTGCCATGGCTACTGCCGTCAGCCGCGGCACCGCCTCCTCCATTGTGGCCGACGCGGTGACCGGGTACCACCTCCTCAAGATCGACGGCTACTCGCGAACCAAGGGCACTCCCAACGGTGCAGCCCTCACGTCCGACCAGTTCGTCGTCGGCGGCCACCGTTGGCGCATCAGATACTACCCCAACGGGGACATCGCCATGTTCGCCGATTACATATCATTTCACCTCATGCTAGATGAAAATGCCACCAGCACGAAGGGTGTGAAGGTTAAAGCCCAGTTTCAGATTTGTTTCGCCGATCAGGTACGGAGAGAGATTCTAATACTCAGGTGGACGTCCACCCGTTTATTGCATGTCATCTAAATGGTTATGAAAAATTTTCAAAAAAATTGACAAGATAGATCAATATGTAACATATCACTCCGCAAACATGCAAGTTCAAATTCAACTTTTACAAGTTATAACAAAAATAACAAACAAAACTCAAATTACTATATGTATATTTACAGTTAAATTTGTTATTTTTGTTACAACTTGTAGAAGTTGAATTTGAACTTGCATGTTTGTGGAGTGATATGTTACATATTGATCTATCTTGTCAATTTTTTTGAAAATTTTTCATAATCATTTAGATGACATGCAATAAACGGGTGGACGTCCACTCGAGCTGTTAAAATAGTTTTGGTGACGAGTAAGAACTTTTGGTGACGAGTGCTGTCATCTAGACCAGTAAGAACTTTTGGTGACGAGTGCTTGACTTGGGGTCATGTGAAGTTGATCAAAAGGGACGAATTTGAGAAGTCCGACGATCTCAGGGACGATTCTTTCACCATTCGGTGCGACATAGCCGTCGTCGGCGAGATCCGCACCGAGAGGACGACGGAGATCGCCACCGAAACCTTCGTCACCGTGCCTCCGCGTCTGACCTGAACCAGAAGCTCGGCAAACTTCTGGACACCGAGAAGGGTGCGGATGTGGTTTTCGGGGTCGGAGGCGAGACGTTCGCCGCGCACCGGTGCGTGCTCGCTGCGCAGTCGCCGGTGTTCAGCGCGGAGCTCTTTGGTCCGATGAAGGATAGCGACAGGGCAGGCGTTGTCCGCATCGACGACATGGAGGCGCAGGTGTTCAAGGCGTTGCTCCGCTTCATGTACACCGACTCATTGCCGGAGATGGAGGAGGAGGAAGACACCATGTGCCAGCATCTGCTCGTCGCGGCGGATCGGTACAACCTGGAGAGGCTCAAGCTGATCTGCGAGGACAGATTGTGCAAGCACGTCGGCGTTGGCACGGTGGTGAACATCCTCACGCTGGCTGGTCAGCACCACTGCGACGGGCTGAAGAAGGCGTGCTTACATTTTCTCGGCTCACCAGCGAACCTGAGTGCTGTCCTCGCCGGCGACGGCTTCGAGCAGCTGAGCAGGAGCTGCCCCTCTCTTGTGAATGAGCTGGTTGCCATGCTGGCGCCTCCAATCCCTCCATCGAGTCATGCTTAATGTGTTCTTGGCTATTAGCAACGGAGCAGTGGTAATTAGTGGTTTCTGTTTAGGCTTTTGTTCTCAGGCAATTGTAGTATATACTGATAATAATTATGGAGACAATGTCCCTGGATTATATTGGTAAGAGCTTGCATTGTGGAACATGGGTGTTATTTTTGTAATTCTTTTGGTATTCGGTAAAAGGTAGACAAATATGTTGCCGTATATTCAGAATAGTGTTTGCAATTTCAGCCCAAAGAAAAAGAGCGGACTCGGCCCCGTATCGTCCTTTAGGGCGACACGGGCGGCAACCCTCACCCGCGCCACCACCCCCACCCTTCCCTCCCTCCCTCCCTCGCTACCGCCTAAGCATGCCACCAGAAAACTGCGTGGCTACAACAACGGCAGCAGCGACAGGGCCTCCTTCTCCTCGAGTTCGCAGAGGATCCAGCTGCAGTGGCTACAACGGCGGCGGCCGACCATATCCAGGGGGCCATGGCGCCCGGGTGGTCTCTTACCACCGACAGTCCAGCTACGATGGCTGCACGGGCACGAAGTTTCTTCAACGCGGCTGCAGCTAGGGTAGCTTCGGTGGTGGTGGTGATGGGGGGTGACGGGGACGACCTCGATGGCGAGTTTCAGTGTCATACAATGGCTGGCGGTCGAATAGCCTCCCCTCCATTCCCTCCCCTCATGCTTGGCCGCCTCCAGTAGGGAGCGCAGCAGGGAATGCGTGTGGGCTAGCTAAATCCAAGGGTTTTTGGCGACTGCAATTCTGCGGTGGCGATGGCGTCAGCTAATGGTAGTGTGCAGGGAAGCAGTTGAGTTTGGTGGTGACTTGTCCCCCTCTTGTTAGCCAGGCATCATTCTCTCCTGGGAGCACCTCCCCTTCAATGTCCGGACTAATCTAGATCTGGTCGTGGGGAGCTCCAAGGGAAGGGTGGAGGCACAACTGACACAGCAGGGAACAACGATGGCGTGGAGGCGGCAGCTTCCTATTAGCCCGCTTGTGATAGCGGGTGGTGGCTTGGGCTTTGGTGGAACGATTTTTTGGTTTGTCGGTGATAATTTTACGGATTGGTTGTGTGGGGCTAGACGGTGAATCGCCGGCAAAAGCCTTGCTAGGCCATTGGCTAGCTTGACAACGACGAAGTCTTTAGGTGTCGTTTTCCTTCTTGGAGGCGTTGTTCTTCCTCCCCCTACATCGATCTCCAGGTGAAATTGTTCCGATTTCCAGACAAGTGGTGGTGATGTTTCACGATGTGTCCTCCATGGGGGCACCACTTTGGAGAACCTTACTCATGGTGGTCATTGTCGGACTGTTGCATCGGCTTTGAAGCTCTTATGCCCTAGCATGCTTGACGATGCCTTTATCTTCTTTGCTCTGCTTCTTTACTATGCGGCGGACGGTCACCTCCCTTTGTTTCACTCTGCTAGGTGGAGTTGGAGCTATTGCATTGGGTGTGACGAAGCTTAGAAACGATGACACCCTGCAACCTCTTTCTAAGTATTGGTGCCCGTAGTGTGTAGGAGGTGGTGCTTTGGGTGCTTTGGCTGATTTCCAATGGAAAAGGCCGGATCTGCTTGTCTATTTACACGCCTATTGTGAAGTCGAAGTTGTTGTGTCGCTAGGTGGCAAACTTGGCAACGACGACACTTTCTTGCAAAGTCGGAGCAGCCCTGTCGCTTATACAACAAGCTTAGCAACGATGCCCGCATTGGGTTCCGTCGTTATTTTAGTTGTTAGCAGGCTAGTGTGGGTGTTGTTGGTGGAGTTTCGTGGTAGTCATGGTTTTCACTCAGTTTTCCCTAATTAACTGTGCATTGTGAGGTTGGGTCTCGTTTCTCCTTAAAATGGGACATCTTCTTTTATATAAAACGTCTGCAACGGCTAAACCGTTCGACAAGAAAATTTCAATCAAAAATTAATTTTGGCAATTTTGGACGCCCTATGAGGCTATGCCCCCTCTCCTGTGCAAGACACTATTTCGCCCAAAATTTTCAATTTTTTTCAATATTTTGTGAGTTTAGTCAAATTTTAGTTTGATTTGTTCAAATTTTTTTTAAAAAAAACTCTAAAATATGCAAAACGAAATTGCAGACCTTGATCCAGAATAGCTGCCTACCTCGTGCCTACCTCGTGACTCGTGAGGTATCTATACTATACCCCACTAAGTGTAAAGCTCAACATGCATGTAACCATGCCACATCGTCACTGACTAGCCATAATTACATATTTACTTCCATAAAAGCATATCCAATCATCACCCCTCACATATTTGCACAATATTTTAACAAATCTATCTATAATTTTTATAATATTTAACATAAACTTTTCAATATGTTTCCCATAAAAGCGTGGATTTCATTTGTTTGTTTCATGATAAGTTGATAAACCCTGTTGGTTCTTTTTTTTCTTTTTTACTCCTAACTTGATTGTCGAAAAAAATATATTGAGAATTGCTGAGTAATTGTAACACCCTGAAAATTCCCAACAATAAAAAAAATCACTAAAATTTCAAACTCTTTAAAACTTTTGCATCATGCTGGTTGTTATGATTGCTATTGCTTGCCAAACTGTAAATAATTACAAAGAAAGCAAATCCAAACAAAGGGAAGGTTAATTACTAATTTAATTTATAGATCAAATATTAAATATTCGAACCATGTTGATAGCTTGATGTCATGATTAGCTAAAAGAAACAGTAAAATCAAATCTAATTCATTTGAGTCCAATCTCACATGAAATATAGGAACACATGAAATGATGATCACCACTATAATGATCGTGTTTATAAATAAGTAATTCACAGGAATATATAGATTGATACTTAGAACATTTCACCGAGTTCCTCATGACATGA